TTCTTCTTCTTCTTCTTCTTCTTCTTCTTCTTCTTCTAATTTTTCATATTTTCTAAATTTAATAAGCAGTTACATTGAAAACCTAAAGGAAAAAGAGGGGCGCCTTGGTGGCTCAGTCAGTTGAGCATCCGACTCTTGATTTCAGCTCAGGTCATGATCCCAGGGTCATGGGCTCAAGTCCCATGTTGGGCTCTGCACTGAGTGTGAAGCCTGCTTAAGATTCAATCTCTCTCTCTCTCTCTCTCTCTCTCTGTCCCCTCCCCCCCACATGTGTGCACGCTCTGTTTCTCTCTCTAAAATCTGAAGGAAAAAGAATATAATAAAAAGATATGGTGGTCAGGGAGTGTTAGGAGAACTTTCCTGAGCCCCTCCTGTAACTGTAGAGAAAGAAGTTCTAGAAAGGGAAGTCTACATATTGTATGGTTCAACCAAAGGACATTCTGGAAAAGGCAAAAACTGTGGAGACAGTGAAAAAGATGAGTAGTTGCCAGGGGTTGAGGGGAGAAATGAAAAAAAAAAAGGTGGAGCAGAGAGAAATTTTAGGACAGTAAAAATATGCCGTATGACACTATAATGATGAATACATGGCATTGTACGTTTGTCCAAACTCACAGAATGGACACCACCAGGAGTGAGCCCCAATGTAAACTATGGACTTCAGTGTCTATGATGTGTCCATGCGGGTTCATCAATACTAACAAATGTACCAGCCTGGCAGGGATGTTGATAACTGGGGAGGCTGTGCCCGCGGCGGGGTGGGGGCAGGGGGCATAAAGGACGTCTCTGGACCTTCTGCTTAATTTTGCTGTGAACCCAAAACTGTTTAAAAAAAAATAGCCTTTTTTAAAAAAGTGAGTGAGAGATTCCACTAGGAGAGGTGGGGTTGCATGGGGAAGGCGGATGTTTTGCAAGTCAGTTTTTCTTGCTGTTCCACACGCACTTGTGATTCTGCCTCTGCAAAGGTCTATCTGATATTCCACTCGCCTGGTACATTCTTCCCAAGGTGCTTCTGAGCCCACAGATCTAAGTATCTGCTGACTGTTGACTAGAGGTGAGCTTATTTCTGTAAAACAGACTATCACTTGGAATGCTTGTGATTTTAACCTCTGACTGGGCCCCTGGAAGCTAGGATGTCAGTGAAGCTTAAATAAACCTGAATAAACACAGCCTGAAAACGTAGGGCTTTTAGTTCTCTTTGCTGTCTGTGGAGTCTCTTGACTATCCCACCCCCACTCCGGTGAGGATTTAGAGAGTAGTGCTTAAGTTTGACAAACCAGGGAACTGGAATCGGCTGAGGAGAGTTATTTTGTTCAAAGCTGGGCAGTGAGAGTCCTCAAGCCTCTCTGGTTATGACAGATCGAGAAGGAACAAGGCCTGTGTCATTGATTTCCATATCTGCCGAAATCCATATCTATTTGATATGTGTATATGTGCATTCTTATTGGCATGTAATACCTATTTCTCAAAATAAAGATTTCCGCACTTTGCCTTGCTTAAGAGTAATTTAAATTTACTTTATAAATAATTCAGCCAAGTTTTTCCGTTGAGTCCAATGAACTCCCAAGGTGAAATAAATGAATAATTGTATATTTATCTAATCTGACACATTAATATCTTACCTTAGAAAAGCAGCAAATGTTCTATTAAATCTTGACAAAACGCTGAATAGATTGCAACAAGTTCAAACCACCCAAGGACGGATAAATTCTGCCATCACACAGCTGACTGCAGAGATAACAAAAATTAAAAAGAACACCGTGCAGGTATTTCTGTACCCTCTTTGAAACTAACCTGAAAAAAATTTTGAATGTGGACACAGCATGGTTTTTTTGTGTGCCAATGTGATGCTTGCCTAACCCATCTGATGGGATGATTTTAGGATAAAATAAAATGATGGTGGTTTTATGCATTTAATTGATGTTCTTTTTTTTTAATGTTTTATTTTCCAGAGAGAGAGAGCGTGAGCTGGGGAGGGACAGAAAGAGAAGGACAGAGGATCTGACATGGGCTCTGTGCTGAGAGTAGAGAGCCCAGTGCAGGGCTTGAACTCACAAACCGTGAGATCATGACCTGAGCCGAAGTCAGATGCTCAAACCAACTGAGCCACCCAGGCGCCCCAATGTTCTATGGAGCTCTCACAGTATCACTTCATTCATTCTTGACCCCTCCCGGGGTAAGAAGCAGGTGCTACTGTCTGCTTATAAATGAGGAAACTGAGACTTAGGGAGGTTAAGTGACCTGCCTAAGGTCACACAGCTTATTAAAGGTAGATTTGAGGCCGGAGTTTAATCCCTTCTGATTCCAGGGAAAGCCATAGACTTGCGAAAGCTCATGAGGCAAAGAAATAAAGCTGATTGTTGCCAGGGTTTTGTAACTGCCAGGTTTTGCATGAGAGCTCATCAGACTATCCTAAGACTGAAAGAATATCTTACCCTAAAGAAAGCATCCCATCCAGAGCACGGGACAGGGTGCAAAGCCATGGTTTAACCTACAGAATGGATCCGGGAGAGGAACCTGGCAGTTGGAAGACAGGACAGGACCTAGTCCCAAGCTGTGTGAAGTGTCTTCCTCCAAGTCTCCACTCTCCAGTCTATTCCCTTCTCCGTAGAATGCTGGTTCCTCGGTCTCTGTTCTGCAGCCGGGTTTTGTAGGTAAATACATGCAATTTGAAAAGAAAAGCAGAAACAGACAGAACAGGAAGCAGTGCACCAGGAAGTAAAAGGGTTGGATATGAACCGGTTGCAAATATTGGGCAGCAGAGAAACCAAAGAAGGCCTCCAGGATTTCCCCTTCGAGGCATATACTCTAGAACAGGGGATGGCGAAATAGAGCCCACGGGCCAAATGGGCTCACTAACTGTTGTTGTTTTTGTTTTTGTTTTTATCCCAAAGCATGAAGTCTTAGTGGAATACAGCCACACACTGTCGGTGGCTGCTTTTGTGCTACAGTGGCACAGAGTTGCATAGCTGTAATAAAGACTTTATGAACGACAGAGCACACAACATTTACTATCTGGTCCTTTACGGAAACAGTCCGTAGACTTGTACTCTAGAATAATTTCCTCGTGTGTCCAAGGGCACAACAAGGGACTTCTATTTCTACAAGTATGGTGCACCCGGGACCCCAAGGAGCCCTCCTAGTAGAAAAATACCCAAAATGTTGCATAGGATTTTTTTTGAATTTTAATACACAGCTGAATTAGTAAGAAATGGATGAACTCTTCAGAGGCCAACAGTGACAGGGAAGTCTGACGCCAGAGAGGTAATAAAGCATGAACCTGACGGCGGGCAGAGTGTATCTGCCAACCCCTGGTGCATGAGAGCTGTTGGTCTTAATGCTCACCAGGCAGAAGAGACAGAAAACAAAGCCCATTCAAGGAGAGAATAAGACCCCAAATGGAAAGGCAAAATTCTCAGTGAAATGTTAAACCCCTCCCCCCCAACACACACACACACCCTGGGAGGGCAGCCCCAGTAAGACACTGGGGCTGTAGGGAAGGAAAGTCTTGACTAAGAATTTCTACCCCCAAGCTGGCTTTCACAGGAATTTGAGGGTCAGATTCACACTACCTGTGTGGCCCCCCACAACCCAAGCTGAAAATGTCCCTTAAGGTGGTCCTGGGCTGCCCTCAGATGCCTGGCAGAGACAAACAAGGGAATTTACCTTAAAACCAAGACTCAAAAAAATTCTCCCCAAACACATAAAAGAACAAATTGCCTGCCTCAAGCAAGAGTCATCAGAAATAGTAAACAACAGAATCAGAACACAAGAGACTGGGGATATACCATCATTGGATACAGAATACAAAATCATAATGTTTATTATGCTTGAGAAAATCAAAGAAGGCATGAAAGGACGACCAAAGAATGAGATACAAGAGATAACAGGGGCGTCTGGGCGGCTCAGTCGGTTGAGCATCCAACTCTTAATTTTTAATTTCGGCTTAGGTCATGATCCCAGGGTCGTGGGATTGAGCCCCGGGCTGAGCATGAAGCCTGCGTAAGACTCTCTCTCCTCCCCTCTCCCCAACGCACGCTCTCTCACTCTAAAAAAATAAATAAATAAAAAGGACATAACAGATGACCAGTCAGATTTGACTTCTATATATGACAAATGTAGTCACGGAAATAAGAAACAAGTATAAGATGTTCATTATTGTTTGTAAGGGGGAAAAAAATTAGAAGCCACCTGCAATAAATAACCAGAGAATAGGAATATCAATTGTATATCCGAACAATGGAATGCTTTAAATTGCTAAAACGGAATAAACAAGAGCTATGCAAACTAGCCAAGATGAAGTATACAAGCATAACTTTGAATTAAAAATTTAAGGTGCAGAAAGAGACAGTATCATTTATTTGCATACGGTTAAAAAAAGAAATACCGCAGGTGTTAAAAATACCGACTTTGTAATAGTAAAAAAGCATGTAGAAATACACGGGGTGACGCATGTTAGATTCAGGAGAGTGGTTCCCTTTAGGGGGACAGAAGGGATGGGATGAGGGTCTTCACTCACTGGCAAGCGCTTTATTCTTAAACGGGCTGGAAAGTGCGTAGATACGGGTCATATTTGCTTTCACGCCCGCGCGTATGTCTAGGAATATTTTATTACAACTTTGTTTTGGGTGGAACTGAAAAACCGAAGGAATGATTTACTTTCCCTTCACACCTAGCTTATTTTCTGAAGGGCATAATTCGATCATTTGTCTTTGTGTGGTTTGTTACACGAAGGGACTTTCTCCCTTCTGGTCTTTCAATCGACAACAGGCTGAAAAGGAAGCCAAGGACACCGAGAACAAGCTGGACTCAGCAAAGCAGCAGTCGGTGCTGGAAGCTGGACTCTCCCAGCTGCGGACCACGTTGCAAAGGAACAGGGGGAGAGCGGCCCGCGTGAGAGCTCAGGCTGCATCGGCCCAACGCCAAGCTGGGGGCCTTGAACAGGTCAGTAGCCCCACCAGTACCACGAAGAGCAGACAGTGCTTCTTTGGAGGATAATCCTTTAACCCCACCTCATGGTGCCATTTGTCAGCAGTTCCGTTAGTGCTGGACCCTGCTCAGTGGTGTGTGTTAGTCGGGATTCCCATGGGCATGAAGGCTCTTCTGTAACGGAGGGCTGTCTCCGGGGAAGACAAACGTCCTTTGACCGTCCTAGGAGTGTTTCCTCCCCCCATCTACTCCTCCTAGTACTTCTAGTGGTTTCCTGGTCTATTTTTCCCTCCCTTCCAAACATTCACAGTCTGTGCCGTGGGTCTATCTTGGGCGTATTTACCCTTTACTCTAGATAAATCACATAACCTATAATGAAAACAAGTGAAAGTCACCTGCCAAAGAGAATAGATCATGTTACAAAAGTCAGAGTGAGTTAATTAAACAGTTGTGGAAAATACCCTACTAATCTAGTTTGCTGAAAGAAACTATCAACTCATTTTCTTAGCAGGATATCTCTGGTTGGCTGCATTAATAGAGTAGCTTACACAAAGGAAAGATGTTAAGTGTTTTTACAATTAGTCGGTTCTCTTGCTTTTAATTTCTAATGGGCAGGGTCACTCCCCCCCCGCCCCGCCCCCCACTTGGGACTTGAGCACACTTTCTATGAACAGAAGTGGAGAAAGGTACTTCCCGCCCACCCCCTCCCCATCTCCATAGCCCCTTCCTGGCCTTCTCTCATCTATTTAACATTCTAGACTGTCAGCCACGCAGGCTGACCCCAGAGATGTCCATTCTAACACTGAGGGAGCTCTGGACACTAACACATATATACTTCGCTTCCTGCCTCATTTCTCTCTTACGTATTTGCCAGCCAAATAACGTATCGTTGCTACTAAATCTTTGCCACTCGCTCTGCCCTTCATCCTGTACGGGCAGCTGTCTGATCCAGCTGAACCAAAGATTTGTCAAAGGCAGGATTGCGTCAGTTCTGTCCTCTGTATCTCCCACCTTAGCTAGTTTAGCACAAACAATCGGTGCTTCCTAAATCATTGCCTTAACATGGAATTAACATTGCTATTTTGTAACCAAGCAGTTTTATGTTTAATTAGCTAAAGCTGAGGATTTTTTTCAGTCTAAAAAAAAAACATTGCAAATAAAAGCCCTGTTGGAAATATCAGGGTGACTCCAGCATATTGATCAGATCATGGTTTCCACTTGCACCTTTTGTGAACGGTATCAGGCAAATATCACACCTGTATACACGCTTTATAAATATTTTCTGGTGATGGGATCGTTTCTCTGTTATAGGAGTTTGCAGAGCTAAACAACCAATATGCTGTTCTTCAGCATAAGACAAGTGCTACAGGACTGACAAAGGTAACATTAGAGAAAGTGGAACAGCTAAAAGAGGCAGCAGAAAAACTGGCCACAGATACAGAAGACAAGATAAGAAGAATAGCAGGTATTTCTTCCTTTTTTTGTAGCTTTCTGGAGGTCCAAGTGGCAGGTGAAATTGTCTATATTTAAAGTGTACACTGTGACAATTTGACGGGCATATATGTTGTAAAATGATCACCACAATTACATTAATCAACAGCAGCCCGCATACTTTTTATGGTAAGAATGTTTAACATCTACTCATATATGCAATAGAATATTGTTAACTAAACAGCGCCGCACTGAACATGCGATCCCCAGACTTTTTCATCTTTAAACTGAACCCTTTTGGGGCGCCTGGGTGGAGCAGTCGGTTAAGCGTCCGACTTCAGCCAGGTCACGATCTCGCGGTCCGTGAGTTCGAGCCCCGCGTCGGGCTCTGGGCTGATGGCTCAGAGCCTGGAGCCTGTTTCCGATTCTGTGTCTCCCTCTCTCTCTGCCCCTCCCCCGTTCATGCTCTGTCTCTCTCTGTCCCAAAAATAAATAAACGTTGAAAAAAAAAAAAAAACAACTGAACCCTTTTACCAAGCTCTCCCCATTTCCCCAACCCACCAGACCCTGGCAGCCACCATTCTCTCTGCTTCTAGGAGTTCAGCTTTTTTTTTTCATATAGTATTTGTCTTTCTCTCTCCAGCTTATTTTCACTTAGCATAATGTCCTCCGGGTTCATCTATGTTGTTGCAAATGGCAGAATTTCCTCCTTTTTTTATGGCTGAATTACACACACACACACACACACACACACACACACATTTTCTTCATTCATTGATGGACACTCAGGTTGTTCCCATATCTTATTTATTGTGAATAATGCTGCAATGAACATGGGAATGCAGATATCCTCTTTGAGATATGGATTTCATTTCCTTCAGAGAGATACCCAGAAAGGGGATTGCTGGATTATATGGGAGTTCTATCTATTCTATCACATGCTCCACCGATGTGACAATAACAGAGTGCCACACTTCCCTGGTAGAATGTATACCAATTGATCATGACACAGTTCAACCACATATGAGTCCACTGAGGAAAGGAAGGAGGAATTGGGTCAGTGCCTTGGGGACCGCAGTGTAACAAGTTGCTTGCATGGTTTTACTTCAAAGGGTATCATCGAGCCTCCATTTCTGTGTTCATCAGAACAAACTGGCATGGCCTTTGGTCAACCTGAAATGCCCTTTTCCGAACCCACTGTTTCTCAACCCAGGGTGATTTTATCTCCTTCCCTGGGGACAAAAACGTCTGAAAACATTTCTGCTTGTCACACCTAGGGGGTTCCACCGGCATCTAGTGGATGGGGGCCGGGGGCACAGGTAAACATTCCATGATGCACAGGACGGCCCCACAGTGAACAATTATTTTACCCAGAGAATCAGTAGTGTGGATGTTGAGAAACTTGAAACGCCCCGTCCTAACCTATGCTTCCTATTTCTCCTCTCATGCAAATAACTGTTTTGGAGTCCATATGATCTAGACCCCAAGGCACTGGTCATCCTACAGAGATCTGTAGGTAGCATTCCAGAAGGAATCGTAGTCCAGACAAGGATTTTGATCAAAAATGGACATTTAGATGTGCACAAAGTGTAGTAAATATAGAACGCATACAGTCAGAAAGTTCATCAGAATCTTCTTCCCCCACAACTTGTACTCATGGTTTTTCTAGGCAGTCATCATGCCCTTAACTGCTTCTAAATCATCAAGAAATACCAAATGATGAGTGGCCTCATTTCACTTTTGGTTGTATTTGTATTGTCTCCAAAACTTTAAAGTGAATCATATTCATTTGGAATGTAAATAACTCTCAAAATATTCAAACAACCGAGACTCCTCCTGTATAATGCTTCTTTGTTATAAAATGAGTCTTTGGCCTTAGAATCACTTATATTCCCACTATGACAGGGGAAAAAAATGAGAACACACCGTTGGTGTGGGCCAAAGTCAGGAAAAATACATCCCACCCTGTTACCATTCATTATCTCTGGGGAGGGGGAGAGTAAAGAGGAAAACGCTACTTTTTCTATTAATGTAATTGTTTATATAATTTACATCTTTTACGTTTATGTAATTTACACAGTTTTCACTTTCCATATTTTCCTAACAATTTTGAGAAGAAATTAACTAGGAAAGAGTCAAAAAGAGCGGTTTTTATTGTGCCCTCCATAAGCAATACCATGAAAATCAGTTGCTGTTATTCACACAACTTGGTCCTTACTGTAGGAACAAAAACGTGGGGAGAACATTCTCTGTCTTGTGTTTTATGTTGAGGCCCAAACTGTTTCTACGTATTCCCATAGCCTCAAACTCTCAACAGTTTTTGAAATTCGCTTGGAAGAGAAGTTAAGGGCCTTCTAAGAGAAGTCTAAAATAACACACTCCACTTTCTTGGCTCTGTTTTGAGAGCTGTTCTGACAGCTCAACAAGGTAGGAAAAGAAGACATTGGCTTGGCCACCTTCCTGATTCTGCCACTCGAGAAGGGTCTGAACCCCAACAGCTGTGCTCTTGTCATACCTGTTAGGAAGAAGTGCCCATGGGACCCCAGAAGGGAGCCCTTATTTACGTTGGCA